GACGCGCTGGGGCGGGAGGGGGGGGGACGCCAACGATACACGATGCAAGGCGCACCCTACCTCTCGGACGCTTCCGATTGTTTTGGCACGTTTTCGGGGATCCGGGCCGTGGCAATCGGCTGCGCCGCGCCGTGTGCAGCCTGAGGCATGCCAGAGCTGTCCCAGACGGCCGCCCGAGACCCCCAGGGATTGCCCGACGGCCGAAGACGCAGGCCTCCAACGTCTTGAAGCCGGGGCGGGCTCGTGCCCGCTGTTTCTTCAGCCCGTGCGGGGGCACCCTCCTTGCGGATGCAACTCCTGGGAGGTCGAGTTCTGACTTCGCACTGGTCCGAAATCCCGCTCCGTCCGGCGTAATGCCGCTTGATCGGGCACAGTCCCGTTTCATCCGGCTTACTCCCGCTTAATCCGCGGCCTAATCCGGAGCAGCAGCCCCCCAATGGGGCTTGATCTTCTTTGATCCTTCCGACGGAGGCCTCCCAGTAGTTGCCTCCTAGCCTCCTGGGCGACGTCACGCGCGCGCCGGACACGCGGACGGCGGTGGGGTGACCTTCGAGGGGAGCTCCCCGGGACGATGTTCGGCCACGCGCAGGAGAGGGGCAGGTTTGAGTCGGGCATGTCCTCCTAAAGGAGGAAAGTTCAAGAATAGGGGCAAAAATCATATATCTTTCGTGCTCTTTCGAGTATATTCGATTCTGTTTTGGCAACTGTTTGTTTTCGTCCAAAATCCGCCTGTAGGAGGGCATGCCCGACCTCAGGGTAGGTGGAGGGGGGAAGGCTTCTGAGAAGCACCCCTGCTCCTAAGACGGCGCGGGTCTCGTCAGATATGTGAGGCTGGCGCCTTCTGTGAAGTGGCCTCCTTCTGATAAGCCTGCCTCCCTCCTCCTGCTCCCTGGTGCGTGCCGCCAAGCTTCAGACAAGAAGACACTCCGGCAGGGGTCGACCCAAACGGTGTTTTGGCGATGTCGTAGGCCGTTGTTGCTTCTATTTCTCAGGAGGAAAAGAAACACACAGAAACAATTAATCATCGATTCCTCAGAAAATATGGGGAAGTATGGGAAGTTGGGGGGAAGACAGAAACCCAGACCATGTAGGAAAATATGGGGAATCTTTTTATTTGTGTGTATTTATTTGTGCGTCCTGGGGCCCCTCCAATTTCGTTTTGCAGCAAAGGCGGATTGAAGACAAAACGAGGTAACACGAAAGCGCAGCGAAAGCGAAGCGCACCGTTCCCGGCGGTGCCAGCATCCCGGCGTGGCCTCTCTGTGGTGCTCCCGCCACCGGGGCCCGTCCTCGGCCCCTGCGGCACGAGCCAGGCGCAATAGCTGGCCCCCACGGGAAGGGAGCGAGAGCTCCTCACACGCGCGCACTGAAGCAAGCAGCTGGTAGGCCTATCAGCTGCCAGACCACCCCAACCCAAGCCGAAGGCCTCAATTTGCCCTCCTTTTCCAGTGGGGGGGGGTCGGGGAACGTTGAAAAACCACATGGAACCCGTATCCCCCCTCAACCCGAAATTCGGGTCAAATTCGGGTCTTCGGGTTGGGTTGGGGTGGTCTGGTAGGCAGTCAGTAGGAGGTTTTTGGGAGCTCCGTCTGGTCTGGGGCCAAGCGGCACGCCCCCCCAGCGCCCTGCGCCCCGACCCTCTAGACCTGGCCCCCGTAGCATACTCAAGCTTGGGAGCCGTCCGGGAGCAAATCCCGACGAGCCTTCTTCTTCGCCCCATCTCGGGCACGTGGCGCCGTCGCGAGCCAGTTCCGCTCCTGGAACATCCTGGACGACGACGGGGTCGGGAGGTCCGGTCGTGACTCTCCCACGACGTCGGTGGGCAGAACAGCTCGCGAGCCTGCGCCGGAGACGGGCGAGACGGGCCCGCTTCCCGCGGCGTGCCGGCTCACGTTATGCGGTGCGGTGGGTTTCGTGTCGCGGCGTGGCGGCGGCGACCCCAGCGCCGGCGTGCAAGGTTTCATCGCCGCCAGCGGCCCAGGATCGGCCAAGGGGGAGCAATCTGGCGATCGAGAAGTTGCTGCTCGTTCGGGGTTGGTCGATTCGCCACGCGGCGTCAGAAGCCAGCGTCACGACAAGAACCCGCCGCACGTGAATGGGTCGTCGAGTTGACTGGCAGCAGGTGGCATCGTGCGCACCATGGCTGACGCTGACTGCGCTCCTTACGTCCCGTTAGAGATTAGAGCCTCGATTGGCACTCATTTCTACAAATGGCCGCCACCCGCAGCAAGTGCGATTGACCATAGCAGCGGCGTGCATGCTGTGCTTGTGCTGTGGAGTGGTCCATCGCTTTATGCCATCAGTGAGCTTGACTTTCTGACGCGCAGAATCTATTACTTGTCATGCTCTCCTGCAAGCGTCCTGTTCCTTGCCGTATCCTCTCCCGTCAGCCCCCACTCTTAACCTCACTTGCACCGTCAGCATGGAGGTGAGGCACATTGGCATGGTAATTACCGTATCATGCTTGTTTCGTCCGTCTTCACCATCTTCTGAATGTTGTTGCTGATTCTTTGTTTCACCGCTGCATCCCCTCGCGGATGGCTCAGCATGCCCGTGCGTGTCCCTCCTGTGGGTACGCACGATGATGGCATACGTGTGCTTGCCTCAGAGTTGCACGACCTTCGCGCTTGTAAGGTCTGGTGCCAGCAATCTTGGGGTCGGAAGAGATTACAGGGCCTGGAAGGCGCACCGAGCAACACGTGAGGAAGCGTGGCCCCGTGAACCCCTCGATCCCGTAGCCGATGCGCAAGTGGCGAACATGCAGAGTGATCAGTAATGTGTTGTCCGGAGCGGTCGGCCCGTAGAGTCCGAAGCTTGAGCCCTCCGCGTGAGGAAGAGGCAAGGCCAGGGACTGGGGCGCTGGATGTGTCGTTTTGAAGCCATCGGAGCACTCCGAGGCCCGAAAACCATCACTTCACTAATTTTGGGCCCCAGGGCCCACTGAGGCCCCAGGGGCCCCAGATTAGTGAAGTGATGTTTTTTCCCACGTAAGGACCCCGAAACTCACCACTTCACTAAATCGAACCCAGGACGAAAGTCAGGGGCCGAATGGCTGCTGTGATGCAACATTGGCCTCGTAAGCACGTCGCCGATTTGCATCGCTCGGGAGGCGGATTGTCCACATAAGACAAGAGATGCTTGCAGGGGCGGTTGGTGCTCTTCGATTCTCGTGTGCACGGCCTCGTAGATCTGGCGCCCGGGCCTCCACGCCCGGAGCCGACCCGCCTTCTCTGCAGGCCTCCCTCTCCCCCATTTCCTGGCGCCTGCTTGATCCTCAGGGAGCTGGGAGTCCTTTTGGAGCCTGGAGGGGGCCACCGTGGATGGGAGACATGAATGCGAAGCCAATTCGTTACGTTGGAAGTCCGGCGTTCAAAGATCAGGAGGGGAAAAAACACAGACACAATTAATCGTCGACTCCCAGGAAAATATGGGAAGTGGGGGGGAAGACAGAAACCCAGAAAATATAGGAAAATATGGGGAATCCGGTTATTTGTGTGTATCTATTTGTGTGTCCCAGGGCCCCTTCAAAAGAGATAGAGCACCGGCCAGGCAACGACGACCTCAGTCTAAAAAATTGCACATGCGGTTGGCGTCTATTTTTCTGCATTTTCAGCGGCATCCGCCGATCGTGTCCAGCTTGGGACTCGCCGCCTACTGGCTTAATTTCAGCGCTATGATTGATTTAACTTAGTTGTAATCCGCGGCATTTCGGGTCAGGAGACTTCCAATATGTTTCACTGGGCGCCAACATGGTGCCAGGGAGGCCCAAGAACTGCCACACCTCGACCCTGCGATCCTCGGTTCCTTCCCCCACCTCTGTCCTTCTCCGGCCACGACCTCTCGAGGATCAACGACCCCTGGACCCGCCCCGGGGCGCGCTCTGGAAAATCAGTTCCAGGAGGATCCAGCCGCGGCCACGCGAGGCCTCCCGGAGACCGTCACAGGGAGCGAGCGACGCCTCAGATGTCTGTTGCTTCTTCCCTTTCTCCTCCTCCTCCTCCTCCTCCTCCTCCTCCGCCTCCCTCTCCTCCTCCTCTTCCTCTTCCTCCTCCTCCTCCTCCTCCTCCTCCTCCTTTTCCTCCTCCCCCTCCTCCTCCTCCTCCTCCGCACGAGGGGGTGGTGCGAGGGGGGTGGGTCTTCCATCTGAGAAGGCGGGGAGCTTATTCGAAGAGGCAGCGGCCTTCTTAGGAGGGCCCCGAGGCTTCTGAGGAGAGCGCCGAAAGCAGCCAGAAGCCAGCGCGATTCAGTACCACCAGCGATCGCCGATATACCATCGAGAGACGGCTAACGCCGAAGGCTGACGGGTACAGTCGGTCCGATGCATAAGATCGAGGTCGGCTCGGGGAGGGTAGCCTCAGTCCGTTGGATGTACTTGTGCATCCTGGGGGAGGGTACCTTCGAATAGTCTGGCCAGCGGAGGGCCTCATGCTCTTGAAGGATGCTCTTATGTCCTAGGTCTGGCTGTAGCAAAGGGTCCGTGGTCGAGCGCTCTGCGACTCAATATCGCTTAACCGACCCCCTATCCCCATCCTCATACCCTTCGAGACCCCCACCAACTTACCCCCCCCCCCAGTTGGGGATACACCCCTCGAAACCCGAAGGGAACGGCCCGTGTATCCCATCTAGGGGGATAAATCGGCCAGTGGGGCCCACGCCACGCCCCTGGGGACAGGGATCGGATAAACGATGCTCAGCGACCCCTCGAGGAACAGCGCCAAGTCGGTTGAGGACCTCTCCACGGAGCTCGTGAAGGGCGAGTCGAGCCTCAGGCAGCAGCCAGGCACGGAGCCTCGCGCGGGCATGCTCGCTGCAGCCGCTTGCTCAAGAGAGCCGCCGCCGCCGCCGCCGCCGCCGCCGCCCCAAGGGGCCGCCGTGGAGCGAGGCCTATCTCTCGGCATCGCTCGGACGTGTGCATTTTCCCTTCGGCGAGGACCATCGAGGAGCATCCTTGATCATCTGGCGAAAAAACCACGCACGAAACCGAAAAAAGCACACGGAAT